GGGAGATCCTAGCTGGATCAAGAAAAGAGAGGGAGAACAAGGAATAGGAGACCATGGTAAATGAAGACCACATGAGAAAAGGAAGAAACAAAGAGTTAAAAAGGCCCACAGAAATCCACAAAGATACCCCCACAAAAGACTGCTGGCAGTGGTCGAGAGACAGCTGGGACTGACCTCCTCTGGTGATGGGATGGCCAAACACCCTAATAGTTGGGCCAGAAACCCCATCCAAGGACTGAGGAATCTGGATGCAGACATCTACTTCTAGGCCCCGGGTGGAGCACTGGGAGTCTAATTAGTGAGAAAGAGGAGGGTTTATATGAGCAAGAATTGTTGAAACCAAGGTTGGATAAAGCACAGGGACAAATAACCAAATGAATGGAAGCACATGAACTATGAACCAAAGGCTGAGGGGCCCCCAACTGGATCAGGCTCTCTGAGTAGGTGAGACAGTTGATTGGCTTGATCTGTTTGGGAGACATCTAGGCAGTGGTACCAGGTCCTGGGCTCGTTGCATGAGTTAGCTGTTTGAAACCTGGGACTTATGCAGGCATGCTTGGCTCAATCTGGGAGGAGGGGACTGGACCTGCCTGGACTGAGTCTATCAGGTTGATCCCAGGCCTTGAGGGAGACTTTGATCTGGAGGAGGTGGGAATGGGGGGTGTGCTGGGGGGAAGGGGACAGGGCAGGAAGGGAGAGAACAAGGGCATCTGTGGCTATTATGTAGAACTGAATAGTATTGTAAAATAAAATTAAAAAAATTAAAAACTTATGTGGAAAAAAATCTCTGACTTGATTTGCAAAGGAAAATTGAGACTTTGTCAATTAGCGGGAATAGATCCAGCAGAAATTGTCGTACCATTAACTAAGGAGGACATTGAAAAATTATGGACAGAAAGTGAACCTTGGCAAAGAGACGACCAAAAAGGAACATCCCCAAAATTAGTCTTGGGGAAAGGTTTTTGTTTTTGTCTTTTAGGAGAATGAAGGTTAAGGAATCTGAAGAACACTGGACAAATGCGACAACTAAAGAAAAGGGACAAATCATCTATCCCAAGAAACAGAGTGAAATGGCGTATGGGTATATATTATCTAAAAAATTTTATGTCTTCCTAAATGTTTGTTTCTGCTTTTCTCTAAAGATTTAACACTATTGGTCTTCTAATAGTCCCAGCCAAAACTGTGCATTACAATTGCAGGCATGTTCTAGAACCCTAGGAACAGTCTAAAAGGCCTCCAAAGCTTTCACAATGGCAAAAAGGCCATCATGCAGCCACTACAGATGGATGGCAGGTGTTTTTTCCCCTTTGTATACCCTCTACTACTGCATGAAGAGACTCAGTGAAGGATGCTCACCCTACCTGCCTACTTCACTTGCCTGTGGCACCCAGAGGATGTTCTTGGCATATTGTGAGAATAATTCCAGTTTCTCCATAAAGTGAAATACACACAGTACACATGTAAAATGAACAACTTTATTGAACAAATACAGGAGCAAAAATAGTGGATTTAACCACATTTTTAACAAACCAGGCAAAAATGCTACACTCTGTTTCTCCTTTCTCCTGAAACAGAACAGGCTTGCTAGAGGCCTGTGCCAGGGGTAGGATCAAGGTCATAGTAGAATTCAATTATGTGTGACTGAAGCCACTGATCAGGTGACCATGAAAATCCACTGCACCTTCTTATCAGGAAGATCAATGCTACCTTTACTTCCATTGTGAATCATTTGATTTAGACTAAAGGTTATTGTTGCTGTATTTTGGGTTGGCTACACCAACAGAACCTGGAGAAACTGCTGACAGGTGATGACATCTAAGTACCAATATGTCTAGTTTTTCTTGCAGGTTGGCAGACCTCTCTGGACTCAGACAGAAGTCCCTGGCTATTCTGACTTGCCTTGGCAATCTTCTCCTGTGCCCTGATCTCAAGGGGTCACTTCTTGGGATTTTAAGCTTATTCTCCCACCTCCATGTTGAAAAAGCAAAGACCTTTACTCACTTGTAGAAGCTGTGCTAGCAGGAGCAACTACTATACAAGAGAAGGAACTCCAGGGTGTTGGTGGTCATAGTAAGTGAAGGTGGGGCATCTGTCTAGGCCAAAGCATTTGAGCCATCTGCTTCTACCGTGGCTTTACCCATCTATCTCCAGCACAAGCTTGTAAAAAAATACTTTAACAGAGAATATGCTGTACAGAAGTAGGATTTGACACTGTATATTACAATGCTAAAATAGCTGTATAAATACTATATAGGCATGGAATCATGCCATTGGGAAGGGCTCACTGGTGAAGCCCTGCAAACCTGCTGTCATCCTGCCTAAAGTGAAATTTCTGTACAGCAGGTACAGGGAAAGCAAGGCTGGACTGTATCTGAACACAACAGGTGTATACAGACTTAGTTACAGTCCCTACTGGCTACCTATAGCAGCACAGTTGAGCCACAAATGGAAGTGGTCCCATAAGAACCACAACTTCCAATACTTTGATAGGAATTTAGCACTAGAAAATTTGCCAAGACCACAGATGTGCCTTCTGCAGGTCTAGGCAGCAGTCATCCTTAGGTGGGTACCACAGAAATGAGAACACACTTCAGGTACCCATACAGAAAGAAGTGGGTTCTCTGATGTGTCACTGGCATCCATATTTATAGACACCTTAGTTCCTGCCACCTATGTTCTGTTACGAGTGGCTGGTTGGCACTCGATGAAAATGAGGGTTCAGATGGAGGTCCACAGTTCCAGGCCTGGGTCAGGGGCAAGGGAAGTAGGAGTGTGCGTTCCAGTGCATTCATACTCCAGCCCCAGAGATGTGCTTTAGTCTGGCATTTCAATATTCAATTTGGGTGGAGGGAGGACATACTTGCCAGGGCTCTGGGTGATGACTACCCTGGCCTTCTTGCGAAACATAGGTGCAATTTTAGGAGGTTCTGGAATGGGAGTTTCTTCTGTTTCCTCATTATCTTCATGGTGGAGATCATATGAAATGTTTCCATACTCTCTCAAAAATGGGAATATTTCAAGCAGAAACTGGCAGAAATCTTTGCGAATACCAAACCACCCTGAAAAATAAGAAATTTTCCTTTCAAACACTAGGCTTTCATGTCCCATTTCTTTCCTGAACAATGAGGTTTACTGGTACTGTGTATCACTTTACTCAGTTTCCTCAGAAGTGAAGGCTAGCCAGGATCTAATTGCCCAATAAGCAGAGGAATTTAGACCTCCAGCTCCAAAGTCCTCAGAGTGGGACCTCAGGCCAGTGGTGGCAGCATGCCCAGATCCCTGTTGGGAAGTGATTCTCCAGCCTCCAGTTAGAGCTCATTGTTGAAAAATGGTGAGGTAGGTTAAAGAGTACAGCTTTACTTAGCCAACTTGTATTTCAGATGAAAGCTGGAGTTGCAGAGCCAATGACTATCATAGCTATTCTCAAACACTGGCAAAACCTAGACCATGCCACCTTCTTCCAATCTTCTAGATCCAGGTTAAACTATTTGGTGACAGAGTGATATTTAAGCAAAGTATTCCTATAATCATCTGAAATATGAGTAGACATAAGTAATTGGCCAGAGTGGAGTCTGAGTTCATGGGAACCCCTCAAACAAGGTCACTGGGGTGTGCTCTCCCTATTTCATAGGGGACTGTCAGCCTAGTGTTGGCTCTCCCAGAATACAAATAGCAGCCCAGCCTGCACCACAGTTTAGGCTTTTCCCTTCTAAGGCTGTTCAGATGGGCAGTTCTCTGGGTTACACATAGTAGAGCTCACAGCCTTATGAGGATGGTAACCTACTCAAAGACCACCTCCAAAGTGCATGCCATAGTATATTACTTAAGATAGAGTAATCTAGCTCCATGAAATGGAAAAGACTCTATTCCATTGAGAGATGGGTAGAAATGGACCTGGGATGACTCTTGTCATTTTGGTGGAAAATGTGGGTTATCCACGGATCTGGAAAGGATCTATAGCCCATTCTTAAGGAGGATAGAATGGGAACTCAAAAAGACACCTGCCATGTTTGGTCCAACCTCCACTTGTCTAGTTGTATTGTGCACTGGAAATGAGGTATATTACAGACTAGCATCCCAAAGCAAATGTGAAAGCATGCCCTTCCTGTGGAGCACCACTCTCCTTCCTCATCTTTAAAGTACCCATAACAACTTCTAAACCGGGGTCCTAAGATTCATCCTTTTATAAAGCATAGCACAGGCACAGACCTCGCCCACCCAACACACACACAGTTTCTTAGTCTGCGGACATACAGTGGTTTCCTCCTTTCTGTCCAAATGTTGTTGCCATCAGTGTGATCAATGAGAGCCACAGGGGAACAAATATTGGAATACAGGAGAAAGCATTGTGTCCATCCAGTTTGTGAACCAGCAGGATCTAGAAAAAGACAAAGTCAAGATGGTATTGATGTGTCACCAGAAAATGGACCAAGTCTGCAGCTGTCTCTGTTATAACCCTTCCCTATGTCACACATGTCATGTCTGGGAAGATGGAAGGCCACTATAGGTAACAGTAACAAACCATTTATCTAGAGAGAAAAGACCATGGGAGATTTTGTATCCTTCCCTAGAGCCAAACAAAAGTCCATCCAGCTGAAAGATTCCCACTGCCAGGAGTTTTATGAGAAACTTCTCCCAGAGTTTGTTCAAAGGAGTAAATAGTATCTTGGGGACCAGGTGGGACAAAGAAAAGGCTCTGATTACAGTATCTAGTCTAGAATTCCCCACCAAACTCAATACAAAACAAGGATATCTAACACTTTTAGAAAGCAGAAGGTGGACATGGGCAGATGCCTTGTAGCTACAGAGTTGTACTACTGGCTGTGAGTTCTGCAAGCACATTCTTACTGTCCTAAATTCTCTCTGGAATTTTTGTCTCCCACAAGGACAGCAGTATACATACCTACCTAGCTATGCCAGATGCGTCCATGATAAGGGTGGGATGTGGTAGCACAAGAGGTTTCCTGTTGAAAGCTTACCTCAAAAGTAAGAAGAGGCACGACAATGGTCATCCAGCTCAGTGCCATGGTTATATGTGTCCTGCGTTGTTCTGCAATCACATCCATAGAGCGTAGAAATAGAACGGACCAAACGATGTAATAGAGGACCACCAGGCACAAGAAGGACATGAGGATCCACAGAGGGACACACACGACCTGCAGAGGAATAGAAACACAGTGTCTTCAGAGCTTCCCTGTATCCTCTGGTAGCTACCATTATCATTTTGCTGGCTGTGATCAGGTAGTCAAGGGGAAGCATGGCTACAGACAGTCCTCCTGCCCAGGACTACCATAGAGATAGCATGGGAAACATCATATTCACCATGAGATTCTATCCAGGAAATGCTATCCTTAGGCCCGCTTGCCTTTAGGTGACAACCTTCCATATTTTAAGTTTTTTTTTTTTAAACACACTCCCTCACTCTCAAGTCACTCATTTCATTGTTCACTCACTCCCATGCTTCCTCACTCTCAGTCACTCCCACATTCCTTCACTCTCAGTCACTTATTCCCAGATTCAGTCTCTTGCTCTCTAACTCAGTCACTAACATGTTCACTATTATACATATACTCTCAATCACTTATTCAGTCACGCATGCACACCTGGTCATCCCCTCATTCCCACAGTCATTCACTCTATCATGCTCATTCATAGTTTCTCACTGTCCCTCACATACCCACTGCCACTCCATTCATTTTCCCTCATTCTTGGACATTCATATAATTATCTCCCCCACTCCTACTCATTCTCACTCATATACATAATCCATATCATCAGAATCATTTCTTCCTCCACTGTCTTGGCCACTCTGTCTCTTCCTCACTACTTATTCTCACTCATTTACACTCCCTTGCTTTCAGTCACTTTCTCACTCAGTTCTTCATACTTACTCTCATTTACATCCCTACTTCCTCCCATCACTCATCCACATATTCTTTTACTCAAATAATTCCTCATGCTCACTCAGTCTCTGTCTAGCTACTCAACATAAGAATTCTTCCTCACTGTTACATTCTCATTCTGTCAAATTTTTATTCACACTTTCTCATACATCTCCACTCTCACATTCACTTGCATACTTCCTCCCTCACTCTCATTAAGTCTCTCACATATTCATTCACTCACACTTAATCTCACTTACCCTCTTCTTCACTATTATTCTCACTTGGAGTTATTCAACAACACAGCCACTCACTACATCAATCACCTATGTGTATGTGTATGGGGTGTGTGTGTGCACATGAGTAAGTCCTTATTTTTCAATCGAGTCTTTTGTATATATTAGTCAGAAGCCAAAGTTTTGACATGTACTTGCAAAACCTTTTCCTCAGCCATTAATCTGTCTTTTCCTTTATTTTATTTTATAAAGTCTAAATTTATAATTTTGTCTTATAGATCAAATTATTGGTGCCATTTATAAAGAATGCTTCACTTAATTACAGGCTTTAAAGATTTTTCCTACCTTTTCCTCTAAGAGTGCTAAAATTTTGACATTTTATCTTATATCTGCGATTTGCATTGTTCCATGACTTTTAGGCCTCTTGAGTAGCTTAGAGTTCTTGGTTACAAATTTTGTCACAAAGTTGTCTATGTATAGCTTCCAGTAGCTCTTCTAAAGTACATCTGTGATGGCATTAATTTATTGATATTCCTTTCATGAGCAGAAGGATAGTGATTTTAACAGCTTCTTTTTCTTTCACCAATTATAAGATATATGTAGTCAGACTGCTTCATCCATATGGCTCTGTACAGGGTTAAGGGTCAGGATCCCTCTACTTGAAGTGGAATTTGAGATTTCTTTTTTCCTAACATACACAAATGGATGGACACACATGCACCCCCCCCCCCAAATATGCATTAAGCATCAAAGAAAACACAATCCATCCAAAATTTAAAGCAATGGTATAACCCCTTGAGATACAGTCTCATGTAGCACAGGCTGGCCCTGAACTTGCATGTAGCCAAGGCTGACCTTGAACTTCTGATCCTCCTGTCTACACTTCCCAAGTGTTAGTATTATAAACATGTGCCACCTGGCCTGGCTTATTCAGTAATGGGAATTGAACCTAGGGCTTTGTGCATGTTAGGCAAACAACTGAGTTCTACCAACTGAGCTAAGGAAGAGGTCTAAAGAAAAGGACAAGAAAGAGTAAAACATGGTAAAAGAAAGACAAATATACGTTTTCTCTTATATGTGGAATTAGATTTAAACATGTATATATGACATGAAAGTATAAGGTATCTGTTTGGAGAGGATAAAGAGCTAGCAGGATGGGGGAACAAGAGAGGTTAATGGGGACAAATTTAGGCAAACAACAATAAATGCTATTCATGGGAAAATGTCAAAGTTAACCCCATTATTTTGTAACTAAACATAAATATAGGAAATAAATCTGTTAAAAAGTTTCAATTTTGGGGCTAGAGAGATGGTTCAGTGGATTAGAGTGCTTGCTGAACTTGCAGAGGACCTGGGTTCAATTCCCGATACCCACATGGTGCCTCACAACTATCTGTAGCTCCAGTCCCAGGGAATCTTATGCCCTCTCTTCTGGCTTCCTGGACCACTAAAGGTATATATTACACTGACATACATTCAGGGAAATACTCATATACATAAAAATAATAAAATCTTAAAAAAAATCTTTAAAAAGTTTCTGTTTTATAACTCAGTAATACTTTTTCTAGAATACTTTCAAAGAAAACAAGAAAATATTAAACAAGGATTTTTATACCCCAAAACACACCAGAGGTTTGAGATAAAATTCTTGTAGTGTTTATAGAACAACAGGATAATTATGATTGATAATAATTAAATGGTTCAAAATAGCTAAAAGAGAATAGCATTTTGAACATTCCTTGCACAAATAAATGACAAATGTCTGAGGTAATAGATATTGTAATAAAACTGATTTAATTATTACATATTATAAATACACAATGAAAGGTCTGACTGTTCCCCATAAACAAATATAACTATGATGCCAGTTAGAAATTCTGAAAACTTAAGAATATGTATACACGGGAACATTTTGAAATTACAAATACTAGTGGCAACTGAAACATCTAGAAACAAGGAGATGTTTCATAAATGCAACTTATGAATCAATAAAGAATGTTATATTTACAATGGCATTTATTGATCTGAGCTAATGTTTATACTATATTAAAACAAAAGAGCAGGATACAAAATCTTACACACAGAGGAACCTCAACAGCTTGTGTATAAGGAAATAAAACCCACTATGTTAGCTCCCAGTGTTGATACTATCATTAGGCTGCTGCTAATGCTTGCTTGGTTTTTACAAGCCTACTGCAATAAATATAAATTACTTTTATAATAAAATGTTTGTTTAAAGATTTAAAAAGCTACATACAAGCCAGGGCCAGTGGATGATCTTGTCCAGTCTTAAGGCAATGAATATAAACTGGAGAATGTTGACCGAACACAGGATTTCTAGCTAAAAATGAAGAAAAGAACCAGTTAAACAAGTTGCATTTAACAGTGGTTATTTGTTTAACATACTAGTAGGCAATGCAAATTATAATATGGTAAAATGTTAACACTACTGTGCTGCTTTTTTTTTGCCAACAGAAAAGCACAGTAGTGTCATGCTTAGGGGAATTGTGCACAAGTCTTTTGTCTCATCCTTATGGTCAGATGGTGCCTTGGCCATTTTGTTGTTCAAGATCTGAGTGCTGTTGACCTTTTTTGAAAAAAGAAAGAAAAAAATAGGTAATCTGCAGTAGATTTCCTCCAACCCTCTTTTCTACTCCTACTGGCAATCATCTATACTTATTACCACCCTCAAACTTCTTTTTACTTCTACCCAGAACTCTGCCCTACATCCCATGCCTTCTTTTCCAATTCCTTGAGGACCATCTCACCTCAATCCAACTCTTATAGATTTGGTGTTGCATTGGATTCTGACTATGCTACTGACCTTTCCCAGTAAGAAACTAGTTGCCTGTGGTGGTTTGGATGCAATTGGTCCCATAATCTCATAGGGAGTGGCTCTATTGGGTGGTGTGGCTTTGTTGGAGTGGGTAAGTCCTTGTTGGAGGAACTGTGTCACTATGGGGGCAGGCTTTGAGGTTTCTTATGCTCAGGATATCACCCAGTATCTCAGTCAACTTCCTGTTGCCTGTAAGATGCAAGACTCTCAGCTACTACTCCAGCATCCATGTATGCCTACACGCTGCCATACTCCTTGCCATGATGATAATGGACTGAACCCCAAAACTGTAAGCCAGCCCCAATTAAATATTTTTCTTGTTAAGAGTTGATGTGGTTATGGGGTCTTTTCACAGCAGTAGAAACTCTAAGATATTGCCAATTTCTAATTAAACCCAAAATGTCCACATACAAGTAAGTTCACCTTTCCTGTAATTCAGCACCCCTACCCTAACCCCCTTTTCTGCTACAGTGAAGCTCTGTGAGACAGGAATGGCTAGGTGAGGCCCAATTGTCTCATTTTAAATTCCAAGCTACTGACAACTCTCATCCCACACGGAAACTGCCTTCACAAAGGCCCTCAGTACCAATAGGCCGAATATTTGTATCCACATCTTACTGGGATATTTGGAGAATGGTTTATGGTTGGCCAATCCTTCTTTCTTGTACTACTATCTGAGTTTCAAGAATCCTACTATACAGTCTTGATATCCTGAGAGTACTCAGAGATTTCTTCTTGGGCTCCCTTTCCATTCCTTACATGGCTACATTTCTAGTACCCCAAACTAGATCCTTACTAGTGAATCATACATAAACACTCATTCACACCACCTAGGGCAGGGAAAAGTTTAAGCAACACTGCAGCTTACCATATTGCCTAGTGACGGGTTCTGAAATCTGCCTGCAAGTTAGCCTTAATTCTGTACAACAGGTCCAGTGTGCAGGTGCCACATGGCTCTCCTAAAAGCACTGTTGTGGGATGGTCTTTCTGTATGTTGTGAATATGTGTTGCTACCATTGGTTAATAAAGAAGCTGCTATGGCCTATGGCAAGAAGGTTATAGCTAGGCAAGAAATCCAAGCAAGGATATAGGGAGGAGAAAGGCAGGGTCAGAGGAGAAGCTGCAAGCTGCAGCCAGGAGAAATAAGTTGTAGAAGTACCAGTAAGTCACTGGCCACGTGGCGATACATAGATTATAGAAATGGATTAACTTAAGATGCAAGCGCTAGCAAGTAAGAAGCCTGAGCCACAGACCAAACAGTTTGTAATTAATATAAGCCTCTGAGTGATTATTTTATAAGTGGCTGCAGGACTGCAGGTAGGAGAGATTTGCTAGGACCACAGGGCAAGGCAGGACCAGAGAAACCTCCATCTACAAAGCACCTGCCATTAAACTGAGCTCACTGTCTCCTGAATCCTGTCCCTCCCTTTTTCATCACTGTAAGACAACACAGTAGCCAGTTGTGGTGTCCACATTCTCATATCCAATCATCACATTCTGCCCATTCTCCCAGCCAAACATCTGATGAAGGCCTTATTTACTCTGTATTTATATTATGACTTTCTAAATCCGGCCTATTTTTTTTTTTCACCAACTCTCCAAAAACCAATTCCATAGCTCTAGTCCCTTGATGATGGATGCCCCTTTGCACTCAAAGGTCCCCAGGCTGCTTTCTTCTGGTAACAGATTTTGCCCTTGTCTATAAACATATTTTTAATTTAGAGGGCTCTCTACCAGCTCTTCACCCACATCTTCCAATAATACCAGCTTTTAGTTATAACAACTGCAAAAAATTCTGCTTTTATATTGTTGCACCGATACAGGTAATACAGTGGAAGATAAGGGGAAAAAAACTACAAACAAGGAGTTTTTCAGTTTCAATTTCAAGCTAGGAGTGTGCATGGTACAGGTATCAGTCAGTTGTCCTGGTGCACTGAGTTCACTAGGATGATGAGAGCACCTCAGTGCATGTTTATAAGAAATTTTTTACTGTGTGTGTGTGTGTGTGTGTGTGTGCATGCAAGAGGACTCACTCACATGGTACATATGGCGTCCAGAGGTTGACATTGGATATCTTCCTCAGTTACTTAACTTCTCCATCCAATTCATTTATTTACTTATTTATGTGGAGATAGGGTCTCACTGTGTTGCCCTGACTGGCCTGGAACTCACTATGTAGAACAGGTTGGCCTCAGAGATCTATCTGCTCTCTGCCTCCTGAGTACCGGGATTAAAGGTGTGTGCCACCATATCAGGCTCCTACTTTATTTTCTGAGACAGGGTCTCTTATAAAACCTGTAAGTTAATCTATTGCCTAGATTAGTTAGACAGCAAGGCCCTCAGGAGCTGCCTATTTCTGCCTCCTTGTACTGGGATTCCAGGCATATGCCTCTAGGCCTGGCTTTTGCATGGATTCTAGGGATCTGTAGTGGTTTTGAATAAGAAGGCCCCTATAGGTTTATATATTTGAATGCTTAGTCATCGAGGAGTGGAACTGTTTCAAAGGATTATAAGGACTGGGAGGTATGGCCTTGTTGGAGGAAGTATATTACTGGATGGGGGTGGGATTTGAGTGTTGTTTTTTTTTTGGGGGGGGGTTGGTTTTATTTATTTATTTATTTAATTTGTTTATTTATTTTTGTCTGTCTATCTATCTATCTATCTATCTATCTATCTATCTATCTATCTATCTATCTATCTATCTATCTATTTTTGGCCAGGCCCAGTCCATCTGTCTATCTGTCTCCCTGTACACTTCTAGATCTGGATAGAGAGTTCTTAGCTCCTCCACACCACACCTGCATGCATGTCACCATACTCTTCACCATGATGATCTGAACTGTGAGTCCCTAATTAAATGCCTTACTTTGTAAGAGTTGTCTTGATCATGGTGTCTCTTCATAGCAACGGAACATTTAGACAGCATGTGAACTCAGGTCCTTAATCTTTCCCAGCAAGCACTTTAATCAGTGAGTCATCGCTCAGCAGTGCATAGTTTGAGAGATGAAGATATAGTCCCTGTTCAGGCTATCTCTGTGCAAAGGCTCCAATTTCCTAGCTTCTATATTTCTCTCCTATTTCTAGTCTAGGAACATCTTGGATACTCTGGGGTTGACTTGGTCGACCAGTTTCTCTCACCTCTATTCTTTAGTATGCCTGGAATAAGGTCCCTTCTACGCTCTCAATATGGAGCCCACTGGCAGGTCCTAGGTTCTCCTTTATATCTCTATGAAAACCTTTTTTCTCATTTTCCATAGCTTTCCTTGACAGATATTCCACATTCTTGGTATATCTAACATCCTGGGGTCTCCACTGAATTTTGGCTTCCTTCTCATAGCTTTGCACATTGTCCTACCAGGGGCTGTTTGCTGGGATTCTGACACTGGCACATATCACCAGGCACCACAGGCTTTCTTTTTTGAAATATGAGTAGAATCCTTTGTGACTTTGTAACTCCTGCATTTTGCCTTCAAAATTAGCAATATGTGGATGACATCAATGTCTACCACTGCTCACATCATAGCTACAGCAGCCACTAAATACCTGGATGGAAAAAAAAAAAAGAAAAAGAAAGAAAAATCTTTCAAACGAGTTTGTAGTTTTATACCATTGAAACTGTAATTTCTACAAAGCCCTCAACTTCACATGGCCTTTTTCACCCATAGTAGTTTGAATGAGAACTGCCCCTCATAGTCTCACGCATTTGAACATTTGGTCCCCAGTTTATGGTACTGTCTTAGTAAGTATAGGAGGTATAACCCTGCTGGAGGGAGGATGTCACTGGGGATAAGATCTGAAATTAAAAGCCTCCTGCTTCTTCTAATTTTCTCTCTATGCTTCATGACTGAAATTGAGCATGTGACATCTCAGTTTCCCGGTCTTGCCATCATGCCTCCTGTCTCTGCCATCATGGATTCGAATCCATCTGAACATGCCACCATCCTCCCCACCATGATGATAATGGACTAACCTCTGAACTGTGAGTCCGTAATTAAATGCTCTTTCCTTTATAAACTCTTCTGAGTTGCCTTGGTCAGGGTGTTATCACAGCAACAGAAAAATAACTAGTACAAAACTCTAACTATAGCGTTTTTTTCAACACTTTTTGTTCTGCCTTTTGCTCCCAATTCTCACTGTAAATCTCACTAAAAGCTGCCAGCAATATCTACTCTAAAGACAGAATGATGAAAGTTCTTCTGAAGGTTAATTACCTCGTCACATTTTAATTCTTTTTTTTTTTTTTTAAACTGTCTCTCTGAGGTATTTTGGTCACTGAGGTGCAAAAGCTAACATACAATGGACAGTGGTCTGAAAAGATAAATTACTGAAAGGAACCTACTGTACTGGGCCTCAGGCACTTGTGCCAGGTCCTAGAGAATGTGGAATAGGGCTGAGTAAGTATAGATTAAGTAAGGAATAAGGCATAAGAAACAGAGTAGTATGGAAGAGCTGCTCTGTAAATAGAAAGAAAAAACATGACAACTTCTTTTTTCTATCAGATGCGAGACAGAGACAGAGACAGAGAGAGAGGACACAAAGTGCAAAGTTTCTGCGATAAGTGTGGCCAACTTCCAGAACAAATGCTGAGGAGACAGGCCTGCAAAGAGAGAAGATGGAGAACATGGAGTTTTTTTAAGAAGGGCAAAGCCTCAAATATCTCTGGGAAATTAGAGGTCATATGCACAGACAGATGGTACTAGACTGCACCACTTAGATCTATTGCTTCCATAATGACTCCCCAACTCTAAGAACCACTGTTACATTTGTTTCTTAGGTGTACCTCTCATGAAATTTTAGTGCTGTATATATTTTGTAGATAATATAACTGTGTGCATACCTGTGTTTTACCCATAAAAAGAACACAGCTTTCTCCATTCCTAACCACAAATCAATATTTACTCTTTGAGGTCAAGAATGTGCTAGCCCTGTTAACCCAATATCTGGCTGAAGCTGCAGACCATAAACCTATGATGGTTTTATCCATCAATCAGGTGACTTTTTTCAGCAGTCTCGGGTAAGCAGCCAGAGGCAAGTAATACAAATAAGAAGTGGTTGGGTGTAGCTTGAGTTTTCCTGCCTTGCCCACAGTCAGGACAAATCTCTCTCACCCGCCAGTACCACTGCTGCTCAGACCCAACCAAGTAAACACAGAGACTTATTTTGTTTACAAACTGTATGGCCGTGGCTAGGCAGGAAGTATAGGTGGGGCTAACAGAGAAGAGAAATAAAAGAACAGGAAGGCAGAAGGAGTCACTGCCTGCAGCAGCCACCAGGACAAGGAAGATGTAAAGTACCGGTAAGCCACGAGGCACGTGGCAAGGTATAGATTTATGGAAATGGGTTAATTTAAGATATAAGAACAGTTAGCAAGAAGCCTGCCACGGCCATACAGTTTGTAACCAAAATAAGTCTCTGTGTTTACTTGGTTGGGTCTGAGTGGCTGTGGGACTGGTGGGTGACAAAGATTTGTCCTGACTTTGGCAAGGCAGGAAAACTCTAGCTAGTTGGGTTTACTAAAGGTTGTTAGGAACAACAGAGAATGTAAAAGTGGGCTGAGAAAGGTACTCTCCCACCACAGTGGACCTGTCCCTACCAGCCACACTCACTCCATGGATTTTCACCACTTTTATAATAGTAAGATCCCCATCCATCAAGACCAAGTCCTTCTTGATACTCTATGTACTGTTCCTGTGGCCTAGCTCTATCACTATTCCTCTCTCTTGGAACTTTTCTTTTAAACCTACGCCTAGGTTCAGCTTCCAATCTTTTATGTTCCTTCCAGATGAGCTGCAGTCTCCTCTTTACCTGCACAGGTCAAAACAAGACATTTGCAGTCACACTCTGTACTTTATCTGTGGGGGATACGCTCTACAATTCCCTGTAGATGTCCAAAACTGCAGATAATACTAAACCTTTTATGTATTGTTTTATTCCAAATGTACACATACCTATGATAAAAGTTTAATCTATAAATTAGTAACAGTAAGAGGTTAACAACAATAATCACTAAACAGAACTCTAAGAAAATACTGTAATCAAGGTAGCATTCATATGATCTTTTATATTTCTCCCAAACATCTTATTTTATGATATGATATTTTCAGACCACAGCTAACTACAAGTAACTAAAACCATGGAAAAATGAAATATCAGATAAGAAGTGTGTATGTGTATGGGCGGGTTTCTATCACTTCCCATTGTCCTCTAAATCTGTTAGCACATTGCTTTGGGCCCTCAGTTCCTTTGTAGTTAAATGCTCTGACTTTGGATTGGGCTGATTGAAATGGAATTCTGGCCCTTTTCCTTAATGTGTAGCCATGAATAAATTATCCTTCTCAGGTAAACAACTGCACCTCTCCCATAAGGTTGTTGTAAACGTTTACTAAGTTGCTGCTATTTATGAGGTGACCATCCAAATGCTTGGCCCAGTCAGATTAAGAATACTACGAATATCATCTACAATTGTTTTCACTATTACTATTACTAGTCTTAGTATTTTAATTTAATTCTATATCTCCTCTTCTTGGGCCTAAAGGGCTTGCATATATAGATACTTGAAAAAGATATTTGCTGAAAGAATAAATAACACATGGGCATATCAGGACAATCCAATTAGATGACAGCTAAGGAGTGACATCATAGAAGATTAGGTAGTGAGAGAGTTAAATTTTATGTATTAATTCAGATGGACTATTATACCAGTTATTTAATTAAATACCAGGGTATGTGTTGCTGTGACAGCATCAAGTTTTTAAAGGAGATTATTCTCAATACTGTAGGGTAAGTGGCCCTTATCCACAGTTGGAGGCTTTAAATGCAAAGTCTGAGGTTTCCTGGGAAGGAAGAAAGTCAGCCTCTAATCTGGAGTGTCAATTCCTGCTGAGTGCCCAGCCTGCCTGTCTGTTCATATTTGCCAGCTCCGCAACCATGTGGATCCATTCCTTAAAATCTCTCTCTTTGTGTCTATATCTCTATCAGTCTTATTGGTTATTTCACAAGACTGACAGACACAGGTAGCTGATAAGACAGAAAGCTAGGAGAAAGCTGAAGACATTTGTTCCCTTATAAACCACAATCTAGAGTTAAGGATTAGTCTGTCCCTTACCTAGGGTAAGGGACTGACATTAGAGTAACTATTTTAAAAACATGATTAAATACACAGATCTTACCTCTAGTGACCTGTCATGCCGAAAGCCCCAGACACATGCTGCAACAGACACTGGGGAAACAAAGAACAATGGCATGAAGACCAGAAGCCAGAAATGGCTTCCTCTCTCAATCCTGTCACAGACCAGAACTTCAAACATCAGCAGGAGCAAATGGATTCCCACAGCAATCAACATGGCTTTAAATTCCACACATGTTTCTCCTTCTGCTCTATAAGGGGATAGAAGGAGAAGAAAAGAAAGAAAAAATACAGTTCAGAATCCTGAGTACAAGGAAAAAGTCCACAGCAAATACCAACTCACTCACATTCTGAATTTCAACTGTAAATATGACAAAACACAAAGATGAAGTAGAGAGCTCTTAAACCTATCTTTAATAGACAATCTTTCAAATATCCAGGAACACTTATGTTTATAACTTTAAACTCAACTATAAAAGTTACTTCCAAGATTATTCCATTAATTACTTCTGTTGTAAAAAACTTCTGGTATCTCAAGTCTCATGATCTTCACTTCTCATTGAATTAAAAACAATACAAACAACATTTCATACAATACTAGAAATATAACTTTAGCTTCATCTGCAAGTGTAGGTTACATTTAAGAAGATACGCCATTTTTCTTGGATGCTACTTTAAAATGCAAATAAGAAAGTAATAAAAGGCTTTCATTAATCTTTATTCCAGTATAATAATGAATTAAAACCTGCATATTAAAAAGTTAAAGTTGTGCTCAAACAAAATAAGTTTAATTAGCTGTATAAACATAAACATAAACTTTTTTTTTTTTTTTTTTTTTTTTTTTTTTTTTGGTTTTTCGAGACAAGGTTTCTCTGTGTAGCTTTGCGCCTTTCCTGGAGCTCACTTGGTAGCCCAGGCTGGCCTCGAACTCACAGAGATCCGCCTGGCTCTGCCTCCCGAGTGCTGGGATTAAAGGCGTGCGCCACCACCGCCCGGCAAACATAAACTTTTAATAAATTAAAATTGAAAATGCTTATAATGCATTTGTAAAGGCCTAAAATTTTCATTCAAAATACAGATAACCATTCCTGACACACTTGCCCTATGGGTGATAAATAATCTAGAAATTAGGACAAAGAGAAAAAACAGTCACAGGTAATTCCTGTAGGACTTTCACTAGCATACTGCTGATTAATGGTCACAGGGGAATGACTATACCTGTGTATAACATACATCTAGCCAGCTATAAACAATTTCTTTCCTTACTTGAAAAGTATCAAAACAGAGAAAAGATGTGTATAACTTTTAAGTATCAATTAGTTAACTTGTTTTTGAGAAACATATATTAGATATCTGAAATTTTTGTCTTAAAAAAGAGATAGATCTACAATTACAGATCGGGGCTGGACAGATGGCGCAGTGTTTAAGAGTGCTTGCAATTCTTCCAGAAGACTTAACTTCAGTTCTCTGTACTCACACTGGGTGGCTCACAACCACCTATAACTCAGCTCCAGGGATCTATCACCTTTTCTGGCCTCCACAGGTACCCTCATACGCGGGGCATACATTTATACAGGCACATGATTAAAAATAAAAAATAGCTGAGCAGTGGTGTTACATGCTTTTAATCCCAGCATTCAGGAAGCAGAGGCAAGGGGATCTCTGAGTTCAAGGCCAGCCTGGTCTACAAAGTAAGTTCCAGGACAGCCAGGGGTACACAGTGAAATTCTTCCTCAAAAAATAAAATCTTGAAAGATTATATTACAATCTCAAAACAAAACAAAAAAACATTCACACAAGAATGCCCTTCATTTGCTATGATTCTTAGTGTGTAGCCTTTTTAAAGTCCTACATACCTATGGGATATGCATTTTACACAGTCTAAACTACAGCTTTTTTTCTTTTTCCAGATAGGGTTCCTCTGTGTAGCCCTGGCTGTCCTGGAACTCACTCTATAGACGAGGCTGGCCTTGAACTCATAGAGATCCACCTGCCTCTGCTTCTCGAGTGCTGGGTCTGCCTCTCAAGTGCTGGGATTAAAGACATGCATCACCACTGCCTGTTTTTTTTTTTTTTGTTCCTATCTTATCTTAAAAGTTGATAATCAAGAATTTTTAAAGTTGAAGTGGCCCCATCTTCTATACTTTTTTCCTTAAGCAGCTGTTTGTCTCTCTGTCTACCTTCCTCATTGTCCTATCAAGAATTACTGCATTCTTCATCTTCTTCATAGAGGTTTATAAGGGCCCTCACTCTCCACTTCCTTCCCTTGCCTCCCTTTTCTCTGAGAAATGAAAGGGAGAGATTCCCATAGAATCCACCCACACCAGGCTACTTCCACTTCCATGACCCCCAAAGATCTGCCTTCTTTCGTAACATCTGATTCTCAGTTTACCTCATTCCCTAGTTCCTATCTGAAGGACTCATGGCCTTTGGACCAAGCTCATTCCCTGACATCATTACCAGTTTACCCCAGGACTAGAAGAGTAGGAGAAAGGGAACCCTAGTTCTAAAAGTAAACTGGAGAAGTCATACAGAGTGTTTCTGTGATTCTTATTCTGCTATGGTATAGCATTTCTGTATTTGGGATGTTTGAGGTTACATCTATGGGCTATCTAGGCACTAAACCACCTAAACTAACGCACTGTTTTTATAAGAAAATTCATAACAAGCATCTAAGTTTTTAAAACACTGATGAGAAATGTTTGCAAAACCTTGAATAGGAAGAAATTGTCCTTATGGTATCTCTAGTGAGAACCACCAAGATTTTGTTCTCTCAAGATATAGACCAGTGGGTTTTATAAAGCAGTATTACCGATATTGAGGATTTCGTGCCCAAACACCGGTTCCAACTGATGCTCCAACAATGACCATTAACTTCCACAACCATATTGGAGCAAAGACAGCCCAGTAGCTCCACTGAATGATGCCATCCAAACGAAGGGCCAGTAGCACGGAGAACAGCAGCAGACAGGCATAGATGAGGAATTTACTAGGAGAAAAGCAAAATGATGAAAAAGAATTAATTTGTAATAAACAGCTGATAATGAAATGAGGAGAAATAACAGAAACATATTCGGCTCATAAAAAAAAGTCACTAATTCAGGGCTGGAGAGATGGTTCAATAGTTAAGACCATTGGCTGCTTTTCCAAAGGACACAAATTCAGTTCCCAGTGCTTAAAAGGCAGCTAACTGCTATCTATAACTCCATTTCTGGGGGTAAAACCTCTTCTTTTGGCCTCTGAGGGCCCTGCACACACAGGATGCACAGAGATACATGCAGGCAAAAAATAATTAAAAACATATATTTAGTCACTAATTCAACAATCATTTATTTAAAAGTTCTATGTAGAAAACATATTGTGTCGGGGATGAGAAAACAAAAGCAAGTAATTAAGTCTCCTGCTTCCAAAGGATTTCTGATGGACTCTACACACAGAACTCATTTAAAATTGTAATAGATAATTAAAAAATAGATTAATAATTAGTCATCTATGATAATCATATCTGTAGCCATGTTAGTTAAGTCTTCTAGGTATACATAGATATATTTCAGATAGATAGGTTATCTTCAAACACTTCATAGACCTAGAGAATATGGCATTTAAATAACTTAGAATTCTGTTGACGTGAGACACAATTGCTCCTGGCTGTACCAATTGATCCCAAGAGAATGTTGGGCTTCTAAGACATTTCCATTTGGAAGTTTGTCTTTTTGGCACAAAATGGCCTACTGGGCAATGAACTGCCCTTGCCTTGATGGCTGACAGTACAAATGCAATGCTGTCCTTTCTGGACAAGCGGGACACAAGGAAAGGGACCACTGTACTCTGCCAAGACAGGGTAATATGGTCTTTCAGAAATCCTGCTTCTGAAAATAGTCTGTCAGATACTCTAGACCTGTAGCCAATTTGAATGCACCAGCAATGCTGAGAAACATTAGATGACTGTCCAGGCTGCCAGCTGTCTTGGTCTACTTTTGCAAGATTCCTGAAAGTTGCTTGCATCCATCTACCATTTCTCAGGTACCATTATGTTCCTTCTCAGGTCTTTGATGTGGTTGAAAACTAGATAGTTGTAATTTCCTCAGTTATGATAAAAGATAAGTTAGATATAAAACCTTAAACTCACAAATATAAGATAGATAGGACATCTTCTTTAATATTGTAACTATAATTCTTGCTTGGTAATTGTTTTGTTATATGTAATTTTACCATGTTAAAGTTAAAACCTTCCTTTTTAAAAAAAGAAAAAAAGGGGAAGTGCTGTGGATATTGCTCTATATAAATAAAACACTGATGGCCAGTGACCAGGCAGGAAGTAGGTGGGACAGGAAGTAGGTTGCCAGGCAGGAAGTAGGTGGGACAAGGAGAGAGGAGAATGCTGGGAAGTGGAAGGAGGAAGAGGGAGACACTTGAGCCACCGCCAGGACAAGCAACATGTAAAGACTCTGGTAAGCCACCAGCCACGTGGCAAGGTATAGATTTAATTTAAGATAAAAGAACAGTTAACAAGAAGCCTGCCACAGCCATACAGTTTATAAGTGATATAAGCGTCTGAGTGATTATTTTATAAGTGGATTGTGGGACTGCGGGGCTTGGGGAACCTGGAGAGAAGCCCTCCAGCAACAATCTTAGGCTAAATAGTGAGTTCCAAGCCAGCCTGAAAAATATCATGAAATGTTGTCTCAAAGACAAAAGAAATGGGGCTAGAGAGATGGCTAAGCAGTTGAGAGTACTTCTTGCTTTTCTAGAGGATCTGAGTTTGGTTTTCAGCATGGACACAAGTTGTGTCACAACTGCCTGTCACTCCAATCCCAGTGGATCTGTGTAGTGATATATTGTGTACCCTAATAAATTTGCCTTGGGATCAGAGGACAGAACACTAGATTAGACACAGAGGTCAGGCAGTGGTAGCACACACCCTTAATCCTATCACTTGGGGGCAGAGATCCATCTGAATCTCTGTGAGTTCAAGGCAACAATGGAAACACAGCCTGGCAGTGGTGGCACACACCTTTAATCCCAGTAATGGGAAGCACTCACAACTTTAATCCCAGGAAGTGGCATGGCTGGAAGGGGAAAGGTATATTAGGCATTAAGAAACAGGAACTAAAGCAGTTCAGCTGAGAACCATTTGGGTGAGGACTCAGAGGATTTCAGTCAGAGGATTCATGGAGTTTGCAACATGAGGTTGGCTGTGGCTTGCTCTGCTTCTCTGATCTTTCAAGTTTCACCCCAATATCTGGCTCTGAGTTTTTTATTAAAAGATCATCTAAGATTCGAACAACAGATATGACACCCTCTTCTGGCCTCTACAGGTATAAGTACACTAATGGTATGCATTCACACAAGTGTATACATATGCATAAATCAAAAATATTTAAAAGAAACAAAAAACACAAGAGAAAAAATGAACGGTTATTTGTCATATTCATATGATACATTTAAGTGTATATATATATAAAATACTTTAAATGGCTGAGTAAATTATAGATACATCTATATATACACACACTCAAGTCACAAATAGAAAAGAACTTTGGTAGATGTCTTTGAAATAATAATATGAAATTACATTGTCAAGAACTTCTACTTCTAGCCTTGGTATAAAAACAGGAATAAGATTTACCTTTCCTATTGAGAGCCGCTGTCAGAGCATGTAGTATTTGGTTAGTGAAAGCACTTTCACTCAGAGTAATTGCTGAGGAGAAAAATCTAGGAATAGCACCTGGCTGAGGAGGAATAAAAACTTAATTTGCACAAGAAAGAAGCTTGGCACCTATTGCCTGTCTGGCCTTGTAGGCAGTCTCCTTGGGTCAGTGGGAAGTAACTGCCTTAAATTAGTAACTAGCAAATGGCTAAAACATCATCCTAGGAATGTGAGCAGGAAATCTCTTAAGTTAGGGTCTTGTGTAAATAACCCGGGGTGAGGGTAAGGAGTTGAGGATTTAATTGTTAGTGGTTCTTTTCTCTATCTTTGGGTGAGATGAGCTAATGTTTATTTCTCTGCATTTGTCCTTGGAAAAAAGTATCTTTGCTGAAATACTTTTGTTTGGAGAGTGGCCCTGGCCAGATATATGTTAATAAATAAATAAACACAGCTGGGGAGAGTTATCCATTACCCCAAATGTATAGGGAAAGTTGTGCCCAAGATTGAGATGCAATCATGAGATTACATGTACACATAACATGGAGATGCACGGTAAATGGGGAGACTCATAGCTGTTATTGCACAAAAAGTTTACAAGAAACAGCCAGTTCATTCAAAAGAGTAATTCCATAACACCTTGTGTGATGGTTTCCTCTAACAGAACCCTTAGTTCTGATTGGTTGACCTTCTGAACGCTAGTTGTCACTGCTGTATACTCTCATGGACTTTCACTACCAGCAGCTCTCAATACTAAATGAAGTATCTCATGTATACAATAGCTTTAAAATCAGGCACACCACTGTTTTTTTTCCTGCACTCATTCACTGCTGTATCAATCTACTGCAGACTTACTGTTCTTCTTAATTCATCACATAAGTACTAAATTAGTTTTTTACCCAAGTATCAAGATAAAATGAAATTATTGTGTTCTTTTCTGCTTCTGCACCTGGCATTTTTAAATGCAAGTATGTGGTATCCTAATAATCTCTCAAGTTACCTCTAAATGCCATCAAGTTTTAAATTAAAGGGCTAGAGAGATGGCTCAATACACTTTCTGTTCTTACAGAGGACTCACCTTTGGTTCCCAACATCCACATAACAATTAATAGCTTTCTATAACTCCAGTTCCAGGGGATCCAGTGTCCTCTTCTGTCCTCTGTGGGTATTGCATGCATGTGGTGCACAGATATACATGCAGGCAAGATACTCATACAGATAAAATAAATAACTTTTGGATTTTCAAGACACGGTTTCTCTGTTGAAACAATGCTGGCTATCCTGGAACTCACTCTGTAGACCAGGCTGGCCTCTAACTCACAGAGATCCACCTGCCTCTGCCTTCTGAGTGGTGGGATTAAAGGTGTGCGCCATCACCACCCAGCATAAATAATTTTTTTAAAGACACTAATTGGAGGATTAAGTTTCCAAAACACAGAAGTTTGGTGCTATATTCAAACCAAAGAAATACCTTTAAAATGGAGTTATTACCCACATCTGAATTATTAACATTAGTGTCTTACCACTGGGTAGTATAGCATGGATCAGGCCACAAAAGCTAAAGCTAATGT